CGCCAGTATCTTCTGCCCTGGCAAGACGCCGGGAATGGGAGCTTGTCGGGAGGCCAGCCGGCTGGCTGGCCAGGGCAGGGGGGGCGCGCTCGCCCCCACATCGGGCGTGCGGTCGCCGATGCATGCGAGCGTGAGAGCGCTCGAGCGTGTACGTACGCCGATGCATATGTATGTGCAACAGGTACATGGAGGCAACAGGCGATGGGGGGGGGGGTGCGCCCCAGCCGGCCGGCTCCCGAGGACCTGGGCCCGGGGCCCGGGAAGGCGGAGGGGGCGATGAGGAAGAGGCGTGGGGGGGGGGGGGGGGGGGGGCCGGCCGGGGTCGCTTCCATGCCCGGACTCAGGTGAGCCCCTGCGGCGCCCGGCTTGGGGCTGAATGGGCGCCCGCCGGCCGGGGTCACACACCGTCCTACGGCCATGCTCCGAGTGGGTGCCCTCTCCGGGAGTGCATGGGGGTGGTGTGCGCGCGAGGGCCGGCCGGTGGGCCCCCGGAACGCGCCGGCCCGGGAAGGCGGGGCCGGGGCCGGCCGAGTGGGCGTGGCCCCTGGCCCGGAACCTCGGATGACCGAGCCCGGGCATGCAAGGGGACATTATTTCCGTCTGCCCGTGTGCGCTGGCCCGGGGAGGGACTTCGGTGGTGGTGGTGGTGGTGGTGGTGGTGGTGGTGGCGGGGGCGGCGCGGGGGCGGCGGTGGTGAAACGCCCGGGCCCGTGCCAATAATGGCGGGGCTGACCGTTGCGCCGCCAGGCATGCGAGGCGGTGTGCGCGCGGCGGTCACCCTGGCTTAGGCCTGCCCTTGGCATGCGCGATCCGACGCGCAGCGTGGGGGCAGGCCCGGGCCTCTGGCGTGGGTCTCAAGCGCGACGGATCAGGGGGCGGGGATGCTGGCCGGGTGGGTAGGGGGGGGGGGGGGGAGATCGCGCGTGCGTCCGCACGCGGGCGGGCGTCGGTCTCAGACCCGGCATATCTGAGAGCTGCCGAAAGCGGCCGCCCGCCTCGGGCTCCTGGACAATCTGGTAACGGTTGCCCGGGTGCAGAGCGCCAGGCCGGCGAGGCCGGCTGCCGGTCCGCCCCCCTCCCCCCCCCCCCCTCCCGCCCCCCACGGTGGGCGCGCCGGCCCTGCTCCCGCCGCCCTTTCCCGGCCCGGTGTGCAGGCGGGGGCCGGCCGGCCGGCACGAGGGCAAGCACGCGAGGCACGGCTCCGCGGCGCCCTCCATGCCGGCTTCCCGGGCGGCTGGCCGCGCGCTGGAGGGCCCGGGGCCGGGGCCCGCGCGGCCCAACCCCGTCACCGGCGAAGATGGGAGCGTGAATGTCCATGGGCCAAATGTGCCCCGGGCCGAGCGGGGGGGGAGGGGGGGCGGGCGGCAGAGGGCGGGACTGTGCCAGCATGGGTGGGGCTGCCGGCGGCAGGGGAAACGAATCCGGCCACGGGCGGACGCATCTGTCAGCGTCTAGTGGCGCTGGCACGGGTCGAGATCCTGGCGAGTTGGCCCGCCACCGGCGAGCCGGCCGGCGCGGCCGGCGGGCAGACGCCCAGTCGGCGCAGTCTCAGAGAGTGGGAAACCCCGGCGGGTACCAGGGGCGGGGCGGAGGCCGGGAACGGGGGGCTGGCACGGCCGGGCGGCCGGGCGGCCGGGCGGCCGGGCGCCAGGGGGAGTGGGCCTGTTGACAAGAGAGCCCCCCTCGTCAGAGGGCGCCCCGCCGAAAGGGGCCAGACGCGCCGGCTGATATCGAGCCCGGCCGAGGACGTATGTGGGACACATGCGGCGGGCGGGCGGCCAGGCGGACGGGCGGGCTTGCTTGGGCCGGCGGGCCGCCCCGATGGCCGGCGGGGCGGCACAATGGGAAAAGATGCGCCCGCAGGATGGCCGACGCCCCGTCCTCATCGGCATATCCATTTAAATGGATATATTAAATGCCGGTAAGTATGGACGAGAGCCGTGCCGATTGTGCCGCGCCCCTGTGCTCTTCTTGTGCGCGCCTCCGCCCCCTTCCCCGGCTCACCCCTGGGGGGGAGACACATCCATGTGAGACGGGACGACCCGCGGGCGGGGCCGGGGGGGGGGGGGAGGAGAGAACGAGAGGGACAGAGCGAGAGGGACAGAGGGAGCATCAGATCTCACGATCATTTGCGGCGCACGAGAGGCCGCAGGGGCGGTGCGCGTGCGGGGGGCTGCGCGCGCGCACCGGGCCGGCGACGCCCCGGCGCCGGCCTCCCTCGCCCCCCGGCCGCGGGGCAGCCAACACACACACACACACACACACACACACATGTTAAGGGCCACGCCTCGGGCCTGGGGCACCCCGCGTGTTCCGGCGTTCCCTTCAGGGGCACTCTCCCGGGCTCCCCCTGCTCCGGGGGCCGGGCGCATCCACGCGAGAGGGGTGGGAGGCGGGGGCCGGGGATACTAGAGTCTTGAAGGGCCCTCGGCTCGCGCGGGTGGGCGGGGCCGGGCGGCATCGCGCGCCCAACGTGCCCCCCTCCCTGGCACTCATTAGCCGGAGTTGGTGGTACTCCAGGCTGCGCCCGGGCGGAGGGGTGCGTGTGTCCGTGTGTGTGTGTGTGTATACGTGCGGGCGAGCGTGTGGACGTGCGCGGGCGCGCCCCCAAACCAGGGCATGGCCCGGCCGACCTTATGCGCGACACGACGAGGGCCTCCCGGGGAGCAGGGGGCGGAGGGCCGCGCCCGCGGCCGCCACTCGCGCTTGCGCCCGGGCCCTTCACACATGCGCGTGCGCACCACCTGCACGACGGGGGGTGTCTTGAGGGCCGCGGGCCCTGTCATGCGTGTGTGTGTGTGTGTGTGTGCGCCGACGGCCGAACGCCGCGCCGGATCCGGGCGCGACCGGGCGCTTCCCCCTGTTTGCTTTTATTGCGCGGCGTCCGGCGCCCCGGGCAGCCCGGCGTGCATGCCGATGCCAGGGGACCGTCCGCAGGCGCCATGTTACGTAGCCCCGATCCAGGCCCTCTTGGCCTCGCGTGTGCCGCCGCCGGGAGGGCCCCGGGGACAGGGGGCTGCCAGGATCCGAGGCCGGGCCGTAGCTTACGGCATCATGCCGGCGCCACTTGCCCCCCCGAGGCCGGGTGAACTGGCCGGGCGGGGGGCCGCCGGTGGTGCTTCCGGGAGTTCACGCTGTGGGCCGACACAATCCCCGGCGCCCGGGGCACCGGGT